GCCAATGAAGTGGGAAAGGTTCGAATCTTGGAGTCCCCTGCTTGGGGAGAGGCGGAGAGCTATAATGAGTGCCCGACTCGAAGTGGTTGCACACTTTGCCACCATTTTTGTTTCCAAAAAAATTTATATTATCTCTTCTTATAGATACCAATAAACATTGTTTAATTCAAAGGAACTTTGAGATCAAAAGTTTTGTCAAATAAATGGTGGATAAGATTCATACTTGGCATTTAAATAATGATTCTGGTTGGTGGGATTCTGAAAAAGTCAACGAAGTTTTTTTTTTCTTAAGATTTCTAACAAGTGCGGTGAGAAGAATATATTGAAACGTTGTTGGACATAACCCACATTGGGTAAACCAGAGTGAATTGTTGTCTCTATTATTTCTTCCTTCTCTGTTTTGTGATTGTGTGTTTGATCGTTCAATCCGAACAATTAACTCGATTACAATGTTCAACTGCTACGCGTTTGAAGTCATATTTGTCAAAGTATAAATTGCAAATGAAAATAAAAAACATATATATCAGAGACAATTAAAAATATTTCATATAGGCTTTGTGCAATAAACAGAAGAGACAATTAAAAGGAAAATGCAATTTATTTTCACTCAATTACTACAATTTTCAATTTACCAAAAAAAAAAAATACTACAGTTTTCAGCTTCTTCTGCTCTATTAAATAGTAAGTAGAAAATGGTACTTTATTACGTTTACCAAAAGGGAAATATATTTTCATCTCATTTCATTTTCACTTTATTTTACATTTTCTCTAATTGATAGTACAAAAAAGGACAAGGTTCGAAATTTTTCACCATCTCAGTCCACAGAACTCATAGTTTAAACGAGAAAAGGGAGCCAATAGTCCAATAATGACAAAAGGAAGGACAAACGAACATATTTTAAAATTCAAAATAAAAAATGTAGATGAAAACAAAATAAAATCCAATGTTAATCCTAATTTCTTCTTAAACAGAGTTATCCAAAGGATTTAACCTCTGAAGAAAATTGTTTAACCAAGTGAAGTGACGGTGAATATACAAACTTATCAGGGCTGATTTTCCCACATGATTTTACAAAAACATCAATCTTCTAAGCGCAATTCAAACTTGGGTTGTCCCTATACTTAGTACGACACAAAACTTCCTCTTTCCTCACAAAATTAAAGTGAAATATGTTTATAAACACACTTGGGAAAAATCTATTGCCGACCAAAGATCAGAAGTCATGGAGACAAGAACCTGAAGTGAAATTCATTAATTTTCAAATGAGAGAAGTTCTTGCCACCAAAGCAATAAATACATCAATATACCAACCTGTAGTATATACAATGTTCCCACCTATCCTAAGAGAAGCTGTGGGAAATGAATAGCAGTAGTGGCTTTTGATGTTAGGATGGTCAAACCTTAATTGAAGAACTCCTAACATAAATCACTTGGACTTTTTTTTAGCCTTCTTCAAATCAGCAGAAAACTTGGCCAGGGCGGTAGGTTTTATGACACTCTTAGGATTAAGAGCCTGCCGAATCTTAAAAGCAGCCCATGCAGTTCCAACAGCATGACCAGCAGCAACCAATCCTTCACTTGTTGCCTTAGCAGCTTCTTCTCCATATCTGCGGTATGTAAACATAAGCCAAATTGTTCACGACAGTTAGAGAACAACATTGGCATTCCATCCTATGTCGTATGCTCGAATTCTCAAAGCACGTAATGGAAAATGGAAAAATAATATAAATGAAGGAACTTGGATTTCATTAGCTACCGCAGCAGGGTATAGGCTAGTTTCCCAATAGCTGTACACCCAAATGCAATACTTTTGTTTTTCTTCTTTTTTAGTTTCTTTTATTAGGAGTTAACTCATTGGAGGTGTTGAAGTTTTCCTACAAACCCCAGTAATTTGGGTGGCATCATGGGGATGTAGGATACTTGGGAATTCAAGATCTCCACATTATTGAATATCATAGCAATACTTATTTCTCATGCCCAACATGGGGATCTTGAACACTAGGTAGTTGATACAGGGTTTTGCATTCCGGTGTGAAATTATGTGTGATTCATACGCCCCCATAATAGCATCAGAACATGAAGAGAGATCACAGTATCATCAAATTCAATACCCAATTCCATACTTTCTTCTATAGGTATTTTACACCCCAGATAGGGCATCAATTGACTTTACCTCTGATGGACAAGCTCGGTTGTCACAGTGGATGATGTTGACATGACATTTTTTCCTGCTACTTCGACAGCATCACACAGTTTGCCTATTTAACAAAAAAAAAAAAAGACACACAGGACCCAATCTATTAGTAAATAATATAAGCTGCAGCCAATTAACAGAAACCTTTCACTTGAAAGATTGCAACTGAAATATCAAAAAAAAAAAATCATCCAAAGCCACCAAAAGATAATACAAACCACTAATCTTAACCAACAAAAAAAACTTGAGAAGCTATATGATAGAGAGGGTTATCTTATTTTCTTTGCTTTTTAGTTAATAAAAACATCATTTTTTTTTGGATATGTTCTTTCCTTTGAAAATAAGATAGTGGGTTTTCTATTTCTTCCTTTGCTGAAGGATATTTGGCTAGTGCTTAGAACTCAAAACAACATTTCAGTGATGCATGTAAATCATAAGCCCCCTAAAAGCCAGGGATTAAGATAATTGACATACTGAATCCATCTAATGATGCAAGCACAACTTCCCCTGGTAGAAGGCTGAAAAATTTCTTTCCCGCTTTAGAATTTACCACTGAACTAGTGAAAAATCCGGAGACCTTCACAACCCCAGTGAGAACCCCAGTTGCTACACTCTCCGTCATTCTGGTTACTCTCTTAACCCTATATAAGCATCAATCCAAACAACAAAACATTAGTTATATAAATACTAAAGGTTTAATGTTTCTTATGTTATAGGAAATAATTTTATCTCCTATACATATAAGAGATGTATGGCTCTATGTGAGGTCATGTGAAAAGAAAAAGAAAAAATATGAGCCCCACGTATTGTTATATATGTGTAGAAAATAAAATTATCTCCTGAATAAACACTAATCCCATAAAAAAATGGGTACAAGATAAGAGTTAACAGAATATACTCAAATTACTTGATTTCTGCAAAATAAGTTCACTAAATATACCAATCAAGAACTTGGCTTAATGTATTAAAAAAACAAGAGCTTGGCTTAAAAGTGTTTTGTTAACCTGTAGCTTCATGAGACAAACTTAAGGAATAAAGAAAATAAAAAAAGTGCACCTTTTAATCCGCTTTAAGGTTTCGGGACTAATCTCTTTCTGTTTAGTGGAAGTCATTCTTTTCTTCATGACCTCATTTCCCCATTTCAACCTCTCGACGGTTACATCCCCACACCACAAAATCCCCTTAATCAGTTGCCCGGAACCGGCGGCGATGAGTCTCGCAGCGGTTCCACTGTAATCCTCCACATTGGGAGCCAAAGTGGTCCAATACGCAGCACATCTCTCCTCCATCAAATCCTTCTTCTTCTCCAATGTCAAATCCGCCGGCGAGATCTCCATTGCCACCGAACCGTCCAAAGCCTCCCCTTTCTTCTTCGCATTCTCCGACACCTCATGCACAGAGAAGCAGCTACATTCCTGCAAAACCTTATCAAGCTCCTTCAGCAAATCCTCCTGCCCCTTCGACGCGATCGTCAAACCATAGCTCAGCAAGCTGGAACCGTCGTCACCTTTCCGGCCCCGGCCATGCTTTTTTACTTCCTCGTCGCTCGAATCAGAATCGGAACCTTCCTCCTTGGGGACGCGGAAGGAGAAGAAGTAATGCGAGTCATCAACTTTTACGGCGGCCTCGTCCTTCGCTAGCGGCCATTGGATCTCGTCGGCAACGCCGGCGTAGACGGCGACGACGTTTTGGTCCTGGCGGAGACAAATGATGGTGAAATCGCCGCAGGCGAGCTCGACGCTGTATTCCTTGTCGATGAGGTGGAGAATAGCGCCGGGGACCTTGATGAGGACCTCTTCGGCGGCGACCGGTGGGGCAGAGGGGCTGTTGGGTTCGGGGAAGAGGTCTTCGACGAGCTCGCTGACGTCGATTGAGGGATAGAGAGATGAGGAGGAATTGTTGGGGTTTGGGTTCGAGAAAGTGTCATGGTTCGAATCTATTACCTCTGGGTACAGGGAATTTCTCTCGTTAGGGTTTTGAGACGCCATTGATGAATCGTTCCAACTTCCAAGGTCGTTAACACTGTGTGGATTTGGAATTGGGAGAGAGAGCGAATGTGAGTAACAGAATGAAAACCGGTAAATGAAGAAAAGACACGTGGCGCGATGAGAAAGGAACAGAATTCTGACAAGCTGCAACTACCGCGGAAATTTCCCGCGCCAATACCGGTACGAACTGTTTTTGAGTTTTTTTTTGGTCTGCGGGTGAGAGTTATGTTTTTAAATAATCGATTGATAATACTAATTATGCACACACACACACATATATATATATATATGTGAAAAAATGAAAATTCAGGTCACTGGACTGTTCAGTGCACTAAGTTCTCCCTTGAGAACTTAGTGCATTAAATATTATAATGGTGTTCTCTTGGAAGAACATAGTTATAATATTTACTATAACTGTGTTCTCGCGAAAAAACGCACTGGACCAAATTTTGTATTCAGTCACTGTGCACTCACTAAATTCACACATATATATATATATATAGTGGTAATAACTAATAAGACTTCCTATTTTAGAGAAATAAAAAGGTGGATTTTTTGTTAGTAATATTATCCAGATGTTGTTGGAGAACTATTGCCTGAAAAAATAATCCAGTTAGCACCTTAGATATACAGGCGCATTAAACTTCGGAGTTAGCATTCATAGGTAGAGGGTGTTAAACTATATACCTACTACCTCAGAATCTCATATGTAATCAATATGTATAATGCATTATTTGATGATAATGGGCACTTGCAGAATCCACAGATTAATAAGCTTTTTGCAATCAGAAATAGAAGAGGGTCGTTGATAGAGAAACATGTTTATTTCTTCAAATAAAATCATCAAAGATGATTTCAGACAGTTAAGAACATCAACGACAACAGTCATATATATCTAGCATAAACTAGTTCGTATAGGTACTAGATGAACCCATTTAAAATAAAGGACATATTAAAATAAATTAATCATAAAGAAAAAAATTAAGATGATTTGAGACCGTATTATTTAAAATTTCAACAGGAAAGTCCGTATTTCCATGGGACCAAGCTCAACAACAAAATCGGAATTGTTGACAGGGTCACCCCTAACTGCTTGAGGTTCTTTCCCTTTGTCCCCTTCAACCTTCCATGTCATCTTCTTCATTTCTGACTTCTCTTGGTTAGCTGATAAACTAACTTCCTTCAAGTCCTTTATCTGCAGAACAAAACACCAAATCACGCATTATAGACCTGACTGACCAGTTTCATATAGGACTAAAGTGAATTTACTCCAAATTATGTTAGTCTAAGAAAGTATGTGAATCACAAAGACAAGCCAAAAGGAGAAGTGAGAAGAAGCTTTATGTACCGTTTTTGTGGCAAACAACCTCTTCAGTTCAACTTTGGTCAAAGTTGAATACTTGGCATCTTCACTTGGCTAGCCACATTGAAAGCATGAGAGAAATGTATGAGAAGTATATTACAACCAATTTAGCTACAGAAAAGAGAGGATTACTTATTACAAGTTTACAACTGAATTGCACTAAAATATGTATTAATGCAAGGCTTGGCATATGATCCTGTTGAGTTTTAGTTATATTACTTTGCCTTGCTTCATCTTAAGGTAAATACGAAGATGATGATGATAATTTTTATAGATTTACCTCATATAGATGTGCCAACCGGAGAAGCACAACTCCTCCATTCAACTCCTGCAACAACAATTAAGTTAGAGAGAAAGACAGAGTCAAGAGTGCCATAGCATTTCTGTGCTGCATTTGATCTACCTCAAGAGTTATCAGAGCAACATTGGGAGGCAAGCTGTAATTTGGATCCATGACAGTTCCTTTGGTCAAATGAGAGGACTTCCAATTTTCCAAGTTCTGACCAATAGATATCTCAGAAGATGTAAGATGGTGATGGTTATTAGTACATGAAGTAAGTACCTACAATTGAGTCATACCTCGTGTGTGAAAGCCAATAAAAGTGGTGAGTAAATTTCCTGACCAGTTGTTCGGCGCCAGCGTGAACCAGCTCCAAGCTTGTGGATGCCGATATAATAATTTCCCCTGACCTGATACAACATGAAGAATGAGATATTACAAAAAAAGGAGATAGAAAATCCAAATGCTATATATAGACAGAAGAAAAGGAAAACAGTCTTTTTCTAGTTTTCTACACCACTGGTGAAAGTGAGTGTTTCAATCCATGTCTTTCAAAAAAACAAACTAAATGTCATTCAACCAACTAGTCAGGATGCATAAAAATATAAAGTAATTGGTGACATAGCCATACTGTTAGTCCTTCACATGTATCATTCACGCAAACTTGTTCATCAAGTGCTTCCCCTACTCCTCGACCATCATCATTGAGAATACGCCTAGTGCAGTAAACATTGAGGATTATTAGTTTTTATACAATGAAATAATGTTGAATTAAACAATGAAAAATTGCATAAATACCTATGAAGCATCAGTTCCACCTCACCATCTTTAATGCTGGCTCCACCAGTGGCACGGTCAACTAAGACTGAGAATTCAGATTTCTTATCCTTAGTATAAATTCCAAGATTAAGCTGGAAAGAGAGAAAAAAAAAATAGTTATAATCTAAATCAAGATTATAGAAACACATCAACTATGAAGCCATCAGAATCCAGAACTATTAGGCAACTTTCTCCCTCTATCAAGTTCTCGTGATTTATTTTCCAGTGTTGGATGCCCTAATAAATTTTGTGTTGCTTGTATTTTAATTTTCTCCCCCTTGATTATCAGCAATGAAAACCGAATTCCCGATGAAATTGATATAGTTAAAAGAATTTTACTGGATAATAATTTCCTGCTACAGGTTGAGTAACTTGAAGGGGCCAATCTTCCCTATGATCTCGAACCTGCATTAACATTTTTATGGATCATAAAAGTCAATGTTGCAATTTTTCCCCAAAAGAGGACTTCATTGTAGAGAGAAGAAAAAGTGTATGTGAGTTACCCGTTTCAGAAAATCTCTTCCATTAGAATCAGTGTAAAACTCCTTGTTTGTGGCCATATTTGCTGTCATTTGTGTGATCACCTCTTTTCCAACTCCATCATCAGTAGGAATTGGACCAATCTTCATTAATAAATTTGTGTCAGAACCATATTCGTATTTTTACAACTCCAGAATCCAGATTATGCCAATTAACAACCACAATATTCTATTTGGCCGGCACAAGACATAAGAGTGCTCTTTTACAAGGCTAGACAATGGGACTTACAGTGAATTCAATTTCAGCATGGTCTTTGTCTTTGTAAAGCCTAGTAACCTAAAAGAAACAACAGAAAGCAAATAAGTTACTCGTGGTCAGAGCAAAACCATTTAGGTATCTCATGAGCGTACCATTACAATGAGTTGGTTAATTATTATAATTTGTAACTTTAGCAATGAATTTGAATTAAAGAGATAGATTTTGCTGGAATGCTCTCTTTTTTTCCCAGTAATCTGCAAATCTTCAATATTAAATCACTCACTATTCTAATTTAAATAGTAGTGGTAAGTGCCATCAAGTTAGATCTTAGATAATGTTAAAATGGCTCGCTGCTTTCTCGTCTTGCATGCATCCAATCCATTTTCAGCATTAGATTCCGCGTACATGTGTTAATGTATTCCACTACCTTACCTCATAGGCTCATACCCCCTCAAAACACCAATACTCAACATTCATTGTTGTGTCTAGAAATCCATACATTTATTACAACATAGAATATAGGACTTGCCAATAATTCACAAAAAAATTTTAAGACTCTGAATGCAAAATATGTTTTGTATCCTGGTACTTAAATCTGCTAAATTACTGACCTGGTAAATCCAAGAGCTAAAATTCTGATGAACCTCATGAACAAGCGGTCCGTGGATTACCTTGAAGGGCACCTGCATATAAAATAAATCAAAAAGCATTATACAGATCAGATACAGTATAATAAATATAAAAGCTTAATAGAAAGTGGAAGTGGATAGACATATAGTAAATAGGAGGGCAAGAAGAATAGCAAACCCAAGATAATTTGAATGATTTTTTGTCAATGTCTTATTGTTTATTAAGAAATTATATTATCAAACTTCTTATATGAAACTAATGCCAGGCTAACAGATTAGAAGAAGAAACTTACTGATCTTGAAACAATTTTTGGAGGAGATCCATTAGGCCTGAATATATATGCACCAGAAGCCTACAGGAGAAATCACAACATTGAAGCATACGCTGAACTAATATAAATTGTTACTAGATGAGTGGCCTTGTATGTACAAAGAAATTACACACCTGAGTATCATCACTGGAACCATACCAGAGAAAGCTTTGCTGAATTGGTATATCAACCTGGGAAAATTTAAAAATCATGAAATATTCTCCCCTACACCCTTAGAAATATGTCTTGATATGAAACAAATAAAGCTAAACCTAAGTGACAAAATATACCTTGAACATACTTGCTATGCATTTAAATCTATTACCTATGTTTACCTTTAAAATTAAGATGATTTTGTGCATATGAAATCAACAGAATATATACTCAACCAGACACAAAAGAAAGCTTAACAGCAATCTCTGGCTATAGGGTACGAAAATTTGAAATTTGATCATTGCGTGAACATTGTGTTAACAGCTGAAATTTGTCTTTACTACTTTCACTTTCTGGTCTTTGACAAATAGAAATCTTATTGCTTCCTTATATTTATTGAAGGGTACATCTGGTGCATTGTATTTTAGTCTATAGTTCGGCAATTTATCATGAATAACAACTCAGTTAACACAAAATTATAAACATTCTTCTGTGCTGAATGAACATGCAAAATTACTTACTCCAGTTCTGGAATTATACATCCGTTTGAGTTGTCCAGAAGTTGAAGAAAAGCGCATCTTTAAATCTCCCGGCCCTATGTCAATGGTATCTCCTTTCTGACTCCTGAGGTGTGAGAGATCTCCTTTTCTCCTTGTCCCTGCCAAGTTGGAAACCAACAAAACAAATTTAATACCGAAAATTAATAAATATATTCAGTTAATAAAAATCCATATTTTGTATTTTATATGACCACTCTGGGTGTGTGTGTGTGTGGGTGGGGGGATGGGAACTTTACCTTTACCAGCTGCTTTAGAAATGAAGTAAGTACTCCATCCAAGTGGAGGTACTGACACCTGAAACAGAAGCCAGTATTTGGGGGCTTGTTTTGGTGACAGTCCCAAATAGGCCTTCACGTATAATTCTCTTAGATTTGTTGTAACATCATCCACGTCCACATATTGTGCTTCAAGGTTATTGCCCCATGAATCTTTGACAACAACATTAGCATCATTCACCTAATGCAAATTGTCACCTTCAGCACGACATTGATATTGATTTATTTTATGATGCCGCAAAAACGGTATATACTCACAGGTATTCTGACAATATCAGTACGATTCCATCCAAGTGGGTTATACACCACTACTACCTGAAAATAAACCATTAACGTATGATAAGTAAAATTTAACCAGAATTCCTTTCAGATGTTATAAAAATATTACCAAACTCTTATCCTCTGGAATATTGCCTTCTGTCGGAGGGCAGTAACTGATATTGAGTAATTGACACTGCCAAAATCCAATAATAATGTAAAAATTGAGAAAAACAATTTAAGAATCAAGAATAGGAGACTAACTACATAATATGTACAGACACATTGGACAAAGAAGGAAAACATGTCCTAAAAATATATCTGCAGCTGGAACAATGATAGAACCTACTTCAACATTTTTTTGGCAAGAAACTTGGACAAGAGTAGTGAATGTTAATAAAGAATAGATAAATAATTTTATTTTTTTTCATTTGAAACATTACCTGGGCAAATGCCGATGCAGGTGCTGAACATTGATAACCTGATTGCTTACTAGTAAGACAAGCCAAAGAAGAACTAACAACTGCTTCAGCCTACAAGAAATCATTGCTTTTGGAAAATTAACCAGACAACCAAGTGCAGGACACATAATATATTGTCAAAATTTGAATTTGGAAAAGTTAAAGTTCCTGACCTTAGATGCTCCAAGAGCCAATCGTTTGGCATAGTCATTAGTTGTATGTTGTTTGGCAGTGCCAGTGACAGCATCATGGTGCTGTGCAATTCCTAGAGCATCTCCAAGATCAAAAGTATGGTATCCAGTTGATTTCTTTCCAGCCAAAAACTCAAGTTGACGTGTTGCCTACACCAAAATGTTAGCCATGTGTTGGGTTTGTTTAGAATGCTTGAAGGCACAAAAAGAAAAAATACAGCCAATTTCATTTTGTTTAGAACATCAATAACATACCAAATAATATCCACTTAGCATCCTAACATATCTCTTTAAGGCTGGGCGACTGGTGTAAAAGCCTGTCCAATAAGCATTTGCTCCATCAGCATACCTATAAGAAATCATCAAGCATGTGCATAAGTGGTTATAACACATCATAAGCTGCTTTCACATCAACATCAACATCACCTTTATTCCAAACTAACTGGGATCCATGGTCAACGAACTCAAATAAAAAAACAAAAAAAATTGAGGAAAAATAAAAATAAATAATTGAGAAGATACAGATATATAAATAAATAAACAGATCCTTACGGGAAGTAATCATCAGTTTTCAGCGGCCAAGATTGATTTGCAGCATTTTTAGCAATGGTATAAATAGATGGAGTAGAATATAAGGCATTCACTCTACCGTCCTGAAGAATGAACACAGGGAAACATGTATTTGAATTCAGGATGATACCATCAACACATCACGTATAAAAATGAATTGCTAGGATATGCATTATAAATCCCTACCTTGTTAACATAATGTATTAATTTATCCATTTGCTTGAACCAAGACTCTGCATATTGGTACTGGAAATCATCACCCATTGTCCACATGATATGGTTTGTCCTCGTCACATTTGCCTATAATAAGTACAAGCAAATTAAATTTGCACATTCTTGTCTATTTCAGTGACAGAAAAGCTAGTTGGTATATTGGTATACTAATTAGAAACGCTAATGAAATTGCACAATATATTGATAAAATTCTAGGAGAAAATGGACCTACTTGGGTAGTAGCTGCATCTATAAAGTCTTTGACGCGCTGTTCAACATTGTAATCGAAGATAAGAGGATCATCCTGCAATTGTAAACGGTGACATACAATGAGCCATGTGCTTAACAAAATATGGGAAATAATAACATGAGTAATTTAATTGTTGTTGAGTGTTGGAACCTGTAACGGATCAATGTCAGTTCTATCGACTTCGAAATTAAAACCATTTGGAGCACTATAATGAACGGGAAAAGCATTGGCAAAAATCTGCAGTAGACCCAAAATGGTAAAAATGATTTACAAAATTAGTCATTGTAGCTTAAGAAATAAATGATTTCTTGGTACACAAGTTCCAACTTCGAAACAAAACCTGAGCTGAAGAACCAAATGTCTTAGACCCACGCCAAATAACTTCAAGAGACTTATCATCTTTGCGCTTAGCTCTGTCTTGATAATCAATCCTAGCGAAATGTACAGAATCAAACCCAAGCTGCAAAGGCATATTAAAACAGATTATTCATTTTTATTTTTGTTATTCAGAAAAAACACAATTATACGGTTAAACTAGAAATGTCATGACATTTATATAAGGATTGATTTTAGAAATCTGTTAAACACAATTATGGGCTTGTTTGAAATCTGTTATACAAAAATAGTTTTTTTGATTTTCAGAACAACAACAAAAAAAAAAAAAAAAAAAAAAACTTGTTTGGTGCTTTTTTTTTAATTTAAAAATTGTAATTGTTTTTTTTTTAAATTAAATTTAAAAAATATGTCTAAGTTGTTTTTATTTTCTGATTCGATTTTTAACTTTAAAAAAAAACACTTATTTTTATAGCTATTCTACGAAACAATTTTAAGAATAAAAAAATTAGAACATAATCAAACAAGCTTTTGTTGTTGTTTTCGAGAATGTCTAATTAGTATTTATATTTTTTTGAAAATATTTCAATCGTTTCATCGCTTCGCAGCTAATTCGATTCGAGGTGGGTCCAGAATTACGATTTTAAAACTCTCCCAAAAATGATACCGGAGACTATTAGTATTTGTATTTTGAATCAGTATACTAATTACAACACAATCAAACAAGCTTTTTGTAGTTGTTTTCGAGAATGTCTAATTAGTATTTGTATTCTGAATCAGTATACCATAAGGGGGTAACAAATTAGCACAATAACAATGGCATATAACCAAATGCGTGGAGTATATTCAGTTATTCACAGCCAAGACAGTGTGGAGTTTAGAGCATATGGGTTATGGGAAAAGGTTACCTGAAATTGATAGGGATATGATAATTAGTCTTGTCGCTTATTCGTTAGATTCTATTTCTTATGTGTTTTGCTTGTCACTTATCTTTAATTATTGTTTTTAGAAACTATAACCCATAAAAGAGTCGAAAACAATTGCAAAATAAAATTTAGGGATAGGTTATTCTATTTATTATTTTTTCTATCTACCTTTGTCTACCATTCTAAAATATCGTTAGATTAATCTAAAGAGGAGAGAGAAAGATAACGATTAGTTAAGATTACGATCTAACAGTATTTTAGAGTAGTAAACAAAGGTAGGCAAAAAAAATAATAAGTAGAATAACATATTCCTAAAATTTATTGATTTTTATATAAATATTATCTGCGATAAAAATATAAATAATTTTTTTTTAAATATTTTAATCACTGTAATGTATTCCGGTGTACCATTTTTCTTACCCTGGCTTTTATTTATTTTCTAGACCAAATAATTTCGCATAAAAGGTTATTCTTCTGCATGTAAATGAAATAACTACTCATAATATGTATAAGATTTTTTAAACAATGAAATAAGTGAAAACTTTATTTAAAAAGAGTACAAAAATATATAAAAATATTTAGTGTAAAAAATTTAGGGAAACATAATGGGGGTACCTCAGCGCCTAATAGGTAAGCCTGAACAGCAGAGTGTCCAAATGGATCAATCTGCCATCCAGCACGAGGGGTCTTGTTAAACTGTTCCTTTAGGAAGCGATGACCCAGACTTGTTTGATCAATCATGTCTATGTAGTGGCACGTGGCTTCATCGTGCATACACCAACCACCATTTCTGCCGACAGAAACACATAACAGTCACATGTGCAACACTACACAGGATATCATTATCTCTATCTAGGGGAAATATTTTCACTACTACCATTATACCGAGTATTCGGCACATTTTTTATTAAATAAGATAAAAGGTAATATTTTTTTACTATCTTTATACTTATACTTATACTTATTTTCATCTATATTCCATAATTTTCTATTTTGGAAAAAAAAAATACGTACTCTCATTGTATGAAAAATGAGCTTCTATCTAGGACAAAGAAAAAAAAACTGTCTGATTGACTATCTTGCTCCATTTTAATAAAAAAATTATCACTTTAACCCTTTATACAAACTATATACTAATTTATCCTTCTATTTAAATCATATATCAATCTACCAAAATTTGACTCACACTTACTTAAGTAAATGAATCATTTACTAGAGTAAATACTTACCAAGGACTATGATTTGATCAAATAAGGGTAGATTAATATATAATTTGAGAAGAGGGACATATTGATATGTAACTTAAGAAAATGGATAAAATGAGAAATTAATTTATAAGAGGGGTAAAATGGTTAATCTGACATTAACTTATCCATTAACAACCAAGATTGTATGATATGATTTCGAGCCTGTTGGGATCTTCTTCTTTTTTAAGTTAAAAGCTACTTTTAAGTTAAAGTTAAAAAAAATTAAAAATTGTTTGGTGATTACATAAAAATTTTAATTTAAAAACTCAAACCTCATTTTAAGAAAAGCTGGTAAGTGCTTAAAAAAACTCTAGAAAGAGCTTTTGGTTTTTGGCATTTTTCTTCATTAACAAAAAAAAAATTATTGTAAGAGCTTTTGTAAAAATCTATTTGGCCTAATTTGTACTAATAAACAGAAAAAAAAAAAAAAAGTTAAAAAAGAGATAATTCAAATAGACACTTCATATCACATATGATCTCATTATATTAAACTCCTCTGGTGTGACATTAGTAATAAGAAAATCTTTTTCTTATGTTGTTGGAGATAAATTATCTTATGTTAGTGAAACAAAATTATAAGAGGGATCCATAAACGATTGGAGAGAAAAAAAAAATAGAGGTGGAATCCATCGTTGTTATGTGTGTGTAGAAAGATAAGTTATCTGATGTTGAATAAGATAAATATAACCCTAGATAATATGACCTAATTTCATTTTATATTATAGCATATGAACTAATTTCAAGCATGAGAGCGATCAGTATAAACAACTAAGACCCCATCCTATGACACAAAAGAGAATCTATTTCATTAAGGTGCGTTTGGAATTGACACACACTAACACAAAGAGACACCCAAGCAGGACCACAAGGACATAAAGCAGCATATTAACAGCACCCACGTACACGAATTCTAGCTGCCCAGCATCCACAAGCTTTTTCACTTGTTCTTGTGTTTGTGGACTTTGTTCTACCCACCATCGATGGAAAAACGCCTGCAATTCATTTAAGAAATTAAATGAAACCCAGAACTGAATTTTTCTGATTGAAGTAAATAAGCCATAACATTTGATGCTCATTCTTGGGTGTCATAAATAGATTATGATTTTGACATCATTTGAACATCACTAGTTCCCAGATTTTACCATCTCAGCAAACACAAACTTTCTATTTGGATCTTTCTGAAGGGACACAACCACTGAGTCCAGCACATTCTGAACACATGCCACCTACAAAACAATCAAAAGTTGAAACTTTTAACAATTATATGCTCAAACACAAATGAATATGAAAGCACAGAATCGTGTGATTCTAACCTGAATAGTATTGTTTGATCCAACATAGTACTGATCAATAGTCTTCAACCAACCAACATCATCGTGGGAATGTGCAACTAGGTGAACATTCAATTTTCCTTGCACAACACCAGCTCCAGTATTATAATTTATGTATTTAGCAGCACAAACTAATGTGCCATAGAAACAAAGCAAGAGAAAAGCAGAGAGAAACTCTGCAGCTAAGGTTCTTATGTTTCCCATTTCCAACAAGAAAATTGTGCCTAGTTTGTGGATAATATACTATTCATTTATGGGAAATATAAGAATCATGTTGCAGGAATGACACTGTTCATTCCTGCAACAAGGATACGGCGTCGTATCCTGACTTTGGTATGACTTTTTTTTTTTTAAGCGTGGGACTCACACTTGATTTGTGTTGGTAGGAAAGTGCTCTTGTCATGTCAAATGACAAAAAGGGAACCCTTCATTTATTCAATTAATATATAGAAGATAAGGGTAAAACCAAAGCTGAGAATAACCCGTCATTGTACTATTCATTTATTCAATTAATATATAGAATAGAAGGATAAAACCAAAGCTTAGAATAATCCACCACAACTAATAATAAATTGTGAATTGGTCGTGTCGGCCAAGTAGTGTAGTAACACGAGAGGTTTCCATATTGGCAAGAAAACAAAAGAACAATGACCGCTACCAAAAAAAATAAAATAATAATGCTACTTTCACAAATTAATAATCACATTATGCTCATACAGCTCCACATATGTCGTTGGCTACAATTCTAGTTTTATTATAGCTTTTTAAAATGCTCTGACTTATAAAATACATCACATATTTGTGTTATTTTTCCAATCTCAAATTTGAGATTTGATACGTAGGGACTTCATGATCCGAAGCGTGTAAAATTGTATGTGGGGATGCAAAAGTTAATGGACATTAAAGTCTTGTTTCATTCGGGTTGATGAATAATTGATTGGCTCTGTTATCGATGGAAATAATAGTAAATCAAATTATTTGACTCCATTATATTTGGCCAGAGTAATTTCATTTTTTGACTTGTATGCTTGAGTTAGTGAGTTGTTAGAGAGAAAAAAAGAAAAAGAAAATCTGATTATATAAGAAATAATAAGAGGATGTATACGTACTCTTGGATTTAGAAAAAAAAAAAATCTTAAGTGTTATATATAAGGAGGATTATATTTATAAAAAAAATTTTATAAATTCTTACAAATTATACTATGTACTCTCGGAAGTATATTAGATTAGACTATGTACTTCCGGGAGTATATAGTGTAATTTGTAAAAATTTGTAAACGGATCATTCCCCTAATATTAATATTGAAATTTGAATAATATTTTAAGTATCCCAAAAATTCCCAACAAAAGTCACGTGAAATGCATTGACTCTATGCAATTAGATTTGTCTTCTATGTTATATTTTGCATGATCAGTAAGCGAACTTAAAAGATTTTTGTGTAGATTAATTTATATATCTCGTGTAAAATTAACTTAATGAGATAATTTATTACTATTTTAAATATAAAAATTACGTGACATAATAATTTAAATAATTATTTAATATAAAATAATAATGTGCAAATTGTTTATTAATTTAATTTATGCAACTTGTAAACTATCTTGCACCTTTGTCAACACGGGACACAAGACGTAATGTGACATTTCGACATGTTAATTTTAAAAAATATTAGATTTCGACACGTTAGGACATGTTTTGATATTAAATAATATTTTTTAATTTATGTAGTGTATATTATATTTAATATTCAATAATTTAATAAAAAATGAAGCTAAACTTATGGTACCTATCAATTTTGCAAAGAAACATAAGATATCTCAAATATTTATATTAAACTCAATGAAATGATAATCGTAATCCAACGAATCTAATAGTTGGAATTAAAAATGCAACGCAATGCACTTTTTGAATATTTTTTGAGTCTCTGTAATTCGTGTTGGAATGTCGGAAAATATCAAAAAATATCGGACAACACATAAGATTTTTCGAAATAGCTTGTAAATGTGGTCTAAAAAAATTTCAGATTATTTTTTCCTTTGACTGGCAGCTTCACGCCTGTTTTCACACTTAAAAGATGGGAATGACAGGATATTCTCGAGTCACGGGCTCATGCACGTATATGATTTTTCAACTTAAGAAGAAAAAAACAAAACAGCATAAACCCACTGTTCCTATGATCATATCCTTATGTATTATCCCTGATTGATTGAAAATAGATTTATACAATATCATAACATTCTCAAGTAACTACTGGCTTCTTATTTAACTAAGTAATGTATTCGAGCTGACCATATAGGAATAGGCTCAAATTTAACCAAGTCTTTGGAATCGGTCTTGTGAGCAAGCCTCGTGCTAGCAATGAGTATAATAAGTGGCTTTTGAGGTTTCGAGGTCATTGCTATAGAATTTTTAATTATTTCTTTTTTTTTTTTGGAAACAATAAGAAAAATAAAAATAAACAGAAACAGAACAACCTAGCTACTGGTCAACCTGGGGTAAAGAGACCCCATTCTATCTCTGACAAGCAGAATACGACATCCCTTGGGGAGGGACCTCAAAAATTTGGACTTCCCACTCATCCAAGATCAAGTGAGAGGCCAGCCAATTAGTAACTCCGTTAGCTTCAATGTGGATGTGGGAAATTCTAACAGACCAATTCCTACAGCCCAAGTTCTGAATTCTTTTCGCTAGATTTGCGAAAGCTTGGAGGTCATCACAACCTTTCCTGATTATTTCAATAGCTGAAGTAGATTTATATTCATGAGAGATTAATTTTGAATAAAACATCTTTGATGACTCATATGGTGACATTTAATGTTAAAGGACTAAATTGATAAAAAAAATATATATATATATTTAAAAGATTAATGTGATGATACTCTTATCATTGGAGAACCAAATTAAGAATTTATTTTACTTTTATTTTTTGTCTGGACCGTTCGATTTCTAAAAGTCATCCAAACCAAACTTCTTAACTTCTTACCAAACTTCGTATCACCCGGAGGACCATCATTCATTACTGCTTTTTGCTTTTTGTGTTGAGATTTCTTCGACATTTCCGCGGGTGGCGGCGTTCCATTGATTGATTATTTTTAGGTAAATACAATAAATATGGGGTCTGCTGATTTTTTTTTTTTTAAAGAAAAATAAGGGACATGCAAGATTTTCGATGGGTGTACAAATGTTTTACTTTTACAGGAGAAAAACGTACCCCTTATTTTTATTCTTAATATTTGTTGAATGAATAACCTCATAATGTACCGAATGATTTAAGGGATCTATTAATCTTATGTTGTATGAGATAATTATCTCATATAACATAGATAAAATTGTGAAATCCACTACTTTTTTAAAAATAAAAATAAAAAATAAAATAGTGGACCCCACTATTTTATCTCTGTTGCATGAGATAATTATCTCATGCAACATGAGATAATTATTTCCCATGATTTAATAGGTTACGAAATTATCTGAGCATTCACTTTCAACCAAGTAATTACACCTCAGAAGAACTCAGGTTTTGGTGCTCACTTTTTTTCCCAAATCTATTGAAAATTTATCAATTATCACAGATTGACGAAAACCAACTCATCAAATATAGTTTTTGAAGTTCATTTATCTATTCAAAGAAATCAGAGAGAGAGAAGAGAGAAAGAGAGAGTGAACAAGAGAGGAGAGAGAGTGAATAGTTTTCATTGATTGAAAAGGTGTTACACAATGGTTTAATATATACCTCAACAATTAAGCCACGTCATCTGGTTCAGTTACAACAAGAATCAGTTAACTAAACTGAATTGGTTTGCTAATTACAAAATTGACCTTTGTGTACAGTTGTATAGTTTAGTTGTACACTTTTATCTACTCTAATATGCCCCCTCAAACTCAGGGTGGATGGAAATAGTTAAGTGAGTCAACCACCTTGAGTTTGTCCCTCAAAACAACAAACCGTGTGGCAGATAGGCTCTTAGTAGTCAGCAACTTGGTCCAAGGCTGAAATATGGCAAACTTTTTATTTCCTTAGTAAGAACACGTTCTCTGACAAAGAAGATGTCTAATTCCATATGCTTGGTCCGGGCATGAAGAACATGATTATGAGATAGAGAGACAGTACTCAGGTTGTCACAAAATATGAGAGGAGTAGTAAATTGAACTTGAAGTTCATTGAGAAGAGACTTGAGCCAGAGAACTTCTGCTGTAACTAGAGCAAGGCTGCGGTATTCAGCTTCTGTGCTAGATCGAGCAACAAGATTTTGTTTCTTGGACCACCAGGATACCAAGTTAGAACCAAAGAAGACACATGCTCCTGAAGTGGACCTTCTATCATCAGGGTCACTAGCCCAATCTACATCACAGAATGCTATAATGGAGAATAAGTGGCTGGGATTGCATGGTTGTAACAACATACCATGATGCAAGGTGCCATTTAAGTAACGTAAAATTCTTTTGACAGCAGCCCAATGTTCTTCAAGAGGTTGAGCCATAAATTGACAAGCTTTGTTTACTGAGTAGCTAATTTCAGGCCTAGTGAGTGTAGCATACTGGAGAGCCCCAACAATGGAACGGTAGAAAGAAGGATCTGAGTAGTAGTTAGACCCATATTTAGAAAGTTTGCAGCCAGATTGAAGAGGAGTAGAAATTCCTTTTGCCTCTGCCATTTGAGCTCTATTGAGTAGATCTTTTATGTATTTGGACTGAGTAAGGATCAGTGTTCCAGAAGATGTCCTCTGAACTTGAATACCAAGAAAGAAATCAAGGTTCCCAAGATCTTTAAGAGCAAACTCAAAGTGTAGTTGTTGAATTAGAGACTGAATAAAGGCTGAATCACTGCCAGTTATGATTATATCATCAACATAAACTAGGAGAAAAACACATTGAGTTGACTTCCTGTAGATAAACAACGAGGGGTCACATTTACTAGCAATAAAACCAAGATGCAGTAGAGAGGTTTTGAGCTTATCAAACCAAGCTCTTGGTGCCTGCTTTAGTCCATAAAGGGCTTTGTGTAGTCTGCAAACAAGTAATTTATTTGAAGACTCAAAACCAGGTGGCTGTTGCATGTAGACTTCTTCTTCAAGAGTGCCATTGAGAAAGGCATTGTTGACATCTAGTTGTCTTAGTGTCCAGCCAAAAGAGATAGCAATACTGAGTATAGTCCGAATTGTAATGGGTTTTACAACTAGAGAAAAAGTCTTTGTGTAATCAAATCCAGCTTGCTGGTGGAATCCCTTTGCTACCAATCTGGCTTTATATCTGTTGAGAGTGCCATCTGGGTTTTCTTTAACTCAAAAAACCCATTTGCATCCAATGGCTGTTCGGTTGAGAGGAAGAGGAACTAAAGACCAAGTGGAGTTGGCTTGTAGTGCATTCATTTCAGATTGCATAGCAGAAAACCAATTGGGATTAGCCAAGGCTTGTTTGATTGTAACGGGTTCAAGAGAAGTTGGAAAAATTTATGGGTTGTGAATAGTTTTTGAATTGGTAGTGATAGAGTGAGTTGGTGAGTTGGTGAAAGGTCCAGAAGGAATGTATTCAGAACCAAAATTAGAAGAATAAGAAGAATAATAATAATAATAATAATAATAATAATAAGGACTAAGAGAGATGGAAATAGAAGAACCTGGACTAGAAGGCACATTCTTTGAGGATGAATGAGAGGTAGTGTTGTTGCTGTTTGAGTGTAGCATCTCTGGAGATGAAATAGGGCTCGAGCATGATGAGGAGGATACTGGTTGGTCTAAGGTGCATGTTGGTGTTGAGGTGTTGCTGCTGGATGCTTAAGAACTTGAGATATTTGAACATTGTTGTACTAGAGTATCAGACTTGATTGATGGTGTTACTAAAGGAATCAAATTGAATACAGGTGGAGGAGAATTGTTAGAAGCAGTGATGGAGGATGGATTAAACCAAAGTGGATAGGGAAAACTTGTTTCATTGAAGAGAACATCCTTAGAAACAAACAATCTGCCAGATGATTTCAAGCATTTATATCCTTTGTGAATGGGAGAATAACCAAGGAAGATGCATTCACTGTTCCTGAAATCTAATTTGTGGTTGTTGTATGGTCTTAGGAAAGGAAAGCAAGCACATCCGAAGACTTTGAAAGATTTGTAGCCAGGTATTGTTTTGTGTAGTTTCACAAATGGAACCTCAAAGTTCAGGGCAGCAGTAGGTAGAGAGTTGATGAGGTAAACAGCCGAAATAAAAGCACGATCCCAAAATTTTATGGGTAAGGATGCATGAGCAAGCAAGGTAAGGCCAGTCTCAACTATATGACGATGTTTTCTTTCCACAACACCATTCTGATGATGAGTGTGAAGACAAGCAACTCTGTGAACTATCCCTAGATTTTTCAGATGTTGATGAAAAGGTCTAAACTCTCCACCCCAATCAATTTGAAGAGCTTTTATGGTTGATTGAAAGTTATTTGATACAAGGGCTTGGAACTGATTAAAGACAGTCAATGCTCCTAACTTTTGTTTGAGAGGATAAACCCATGTGTACCTAGAATGAGCATCTACAAAAGATATGTAGTAGGTGTAGCTCATTGTAGACTTAACAGGAGCTGGACCCCATAAATCACTGAAGACAAGGTCAAAAGGTTTTTCATATATTTTGGTGGATGGACCAGAATGCAATCTGTGTATTTTTCCCAAACAACAAGCAGAACAAAAGGTAAAGTCTATTTTATTAGGTACTGGAATATTACACGACTTTAGAATACAATTTAAGGCATCAGTATGAGTATGTCCCAGACTACAATGCCAAAGAGAGTACATATAGTTTGATCCTACAGAATTTGTAGAGCTATTAGCTTTATTAGCTGTGTTTTGTGTGAGTACATCAATGGGTATAGAACTAGTACAAACTGAGTTACTGTAACTAGTACACAAGGTTTTTGGACTACTGGAAACAGAGTTGAAATTAGCAACAGAAGCACATTGTTGGCTTGATGACAGACTAGAGCTGGAAGAAAGATTAACTCCTTGAAAGAAGTACAGTCCATCAGTTCCCAATGCACCTTCCAACAACACTTCATGAGATGCCTGAGATTTTACACAGCAAGTAAAAGGGTGAAATTCAAAAAACACATTGTTATCTCTAGCAAATTGACTCACACTGATGAGATTTTTAGTTATAGAGGGAACAAGGAGTAAATTATTGAGATGAAGATTGGTGTGTGGTTTGAGTGGAGAAGAAAAAGAGGAATGGCCCATAGCATTCACTTTCAAACATTGGTCGTTCCCTATGTAAACCTGGTCTGCACCTGATAGTTGTGTCCTTTGTAGCAGATTTTGAGGATTGACAGTTACATGGTGAAAGGCACCTGAATCTGGATACCATTCTATGGCCTGACCATTTGAGGGAGTAGGTAAGAGTCTTGTCCTTGTGATTGTAAGGTGACATTGCAATGTTGTGGAGTTGCATGTGAAGTTGCATGTTGAGGTTGATTTGTGGTCAACAGTGCTTGAGGTTGATTTGCATTAGTAGTCCTGTTATACTGAAAGGGCCTTTGATACGAGGACTGTGGTGATGGAAAGAATTGAGGAGCTTCCGGTGAGGTGAATTCAGGCACAAAATTCTCATCAAACCTATACCAGCAACTTTGAACTCCATGTCCAAACCTATAACATAGTTGACATTGAATATTGTTGTGACCTCGACCTCTTCCTCCTCTATTGTTCCGACCATAGAATCTTCCTCTGCCTCTTTCATAATCGGAACCATAAGATCTTTGATTCTGATTTGTGTGTATAGGCTTAAATGGAGGTCTTATAGCTGTTGATTCAGATCTTGAAGATTCCTTTGGATCAGTGGATACCTTTTGAACCACATTCACAGTCATTGAATTTGAAAGTAGAGTTTCATTTTGCCTTGCAAGCATCATTTCATAGGACACCAGTTCAACTCGTAAGTCATTAAGTGAGTATGGATTTTCACGAGCTCTCACAGAAGTAACGAATGCATTGAACTCAACAACTAAGCTTGCTCAATACGAGCTTGCTCAGATTCGAACTGAAGAGGTATCTTCGGGTTAAAAAGAAAGTGATGGAGTTGGTGTGAGGTGATTACAGGTTCTACAACTTGATTCCAGATGAGAAAGTTGCTTTCCGTCAGCTTGACGAAGATCTGATGAGTGAACAATGACGGAGAAGATGACCGATTCTCTGTCGCTCCACTTCCGGTAGTTTCCCTGGTGGCTGTAGACGACAGAGATGGTGGTTGCGAAGCGGAAGACATCATGTGGATCGATTTGTATCAGGCCATCAGAGAGAGAGCTCTAATACCATCAAAGAAATCAGAGAGAGTGAAAAGAGAGGAGAGAGAGTGAATAATTTTCATTGATTGAAAAGGTGTTACACAATGGTCTAATATAGACCTCAACAACTAAGCCACGTCATCTGGTTCAGTTACAACAAGAATCAGTTAACTAAACTGAATTGGTTTGCTAATTACAAAATTGACCTTTGTGTACGGCTGTACACCTTTATCTACTCTAATATCTATTATCAATATCGTCTTTTTCATCCATCAATTTAATTTCATGTACTTTTCAAGTACTTCGAATTTCCCATTTGGTAGATTCTTGCAAAGTTTTTCTCCTTCGTCAATTTCTTTTAACGCAATTATTCCTCGTAAATCCCTTTGACACATTTACCCTCCAACACTTGTAATAAGGCACATAATATTCTTCGTCAATTACATTAATTTCTCATCTCATTACATGTGAATTAATTGCTATTGCATTACCAGTCAAATATTATTTTTTTAATTAAGAATCACTATAAATAAGATCCCATATTCGAAGAGAATTCATTCTAAAAATTAACAAGCTGATCCAAAATCTTCATCAAGAGATTGACAAAGCTGAGATACATTTGTTGATAAAGTTGACTAATTTTCATGCAAACAATTTGATTCTATCGTTGTTTCTGTATGACAATCATCTCACAAAATATTAAATTCTCCTTTTGGGTATCCAAACGCTGACAACATTGACAGAAAAATAGTCAGTGTATAAAATTGTTTAGATGCTTACGTTTTGCATTTGGAAGAAAAGGCCACGCATCAGCATCAGCATCAAGCATCTACTTTTAAACTAAAATCAACATCAACATCAACATCAACAACACTTTTATTCCAAATTAATTGGGGTCGGTGGTAGATGAACCCACATGAAAGATACAAAACGGTTGAGAAAAAAAGAAAAAAAAAAGGAAAATAAAAAAATAAAAAAAAATAAAAAAAATAAAAATAAAAATAAAAAATAAAAAATAAATGAAAAAAATAATAAATAATAAAAGGCTTAACATAAATTTTGTGATGAGTTGACGTACAATAAAGGATGGAGTATTCTTCACCATAAAAACCATGTAATCCCTTAATGCCCTCATCGACTATAGGCTTTTCACCTGATGAATCATCCGTACTTAATCAAGATACAACATAGATTCGTTCCAATCATGTGAAATACTACCCCGATTAGAACCACCTTCCAACATGGTACCGATATGTCTATCAAAGAAACAGAAATAAAAATGCAAGGAAACTCTCAACATTATTTCTTCTCCTCCTCATTTGATGGCTTGTCTTCATTCTTCTGCTGAGGCTGATTGACAGCACAATCAGAAAACTAATAATAGTGTACGAAAATGTACCAAAATACCAATAGTTCAATTTAAAAAATGCTAGCCATGTGAAATACTGGGCATGTGATGGTATATCACTTATATAAAAGCCTATTGGCCCATTTAAAAAATAAATAAATTTACACAAGCACATTTAAATTTGCCGTGTAGTGGAAACTGGAAACTTTTATTATCCTTCAAGCAACATACTAGCCCTGTCTCCTTCACCTAAAATATTTCTTTAAAAAAAGAGAAGATAATATGGAATAAACAAATATTGATGTGATAATGACCAAATTTTCCCGTTGAGCACGTATTTATTTTCTCACTCAAGTCAGTAAGCAGAGAGCACTTGCATATTATATTGTCACATCCACATACAAAATTCCACCTACAACTATGATCCTCCAAAATCATTAAATATGCAGACAATATATAGAAAACAAGATCAGCATGCAAAACAAGCAAAATCCAACTATTACTGAATAAACAAAAAATATCAATTAGAAGAAAAGGAGGAGAAATGAAAAGGAGTTCGAAGTTAAAATCTAGGTGAAGCGAAATTCAAATATGTCCCCGGTAAAATTTTATATAAAATTCTTTTCAAACCCAATTATATTTTTCCATAAAGGAAGACTTACCTCAGACTGATTTTGCATGGAGGCCAGCAAATCTTTGACAGATGGGTCATTTGGATCAACCCCGGGAAGCTGCAGAAGCAATGAATTACTCAGTGCAGAACATATTGCATATCATTCTATTAATACATTTAAAGAACAAAATGGAAAAATACAGAATTTATCAGACATACTGATGCAAGGATAGAAGATACAAAGGACTGGTCTGCCAACAATTTGCTCATGTCTGACTGGCTTGCTGAGTCCTTTGTGCTGTCTGCTACTGACATTTGGAGAGCTCCAAGCAATAAAAGAAAAGAAATCAGTGAAAATCAAGATTACTAAAGATTTTTGCAAATTCTATGCAAATTGATTACATAGCCAACACAACTTCTCACAGAAGAGAACATAACCATTCATGATTCAGCAAAGCCAAACCCTTGTTATCCCATTAAAGAAAAGGAAAATCTTTTTCTTATATTGTTGGAGATGGGTTATCTTACATTAGTGAAACAAAATTATAACAGGGACCCACAAATAATTGGAGAGAACAAAAATAGAGGTGAGACCCACTTTTGTTATGTGTGTGTAGGGATTTGGTTTATCTCATGTTAAATGAGATAAATATAACCCTAAAAAAATGGCCAAACCCTCAAACAAGTACAGGTTAGCTGAGCAAAAATGTAAAATATAAACAAAGCATTCCTATGCCATGAAATGATACCTTCAAGATAATTAATATCCAAAAGGACCAAGAAAAAACTCTATTCATCTTCGCTAAGAGCCTGTTTGGCACCTCCCTTTCTTAAGCTAAAACCTACTTTTAAGCTAAAGCTAAAAAAAAGAGCTTTAAAAATAAAGCTACAAGCTGTTTTATGATTATATAAAAAATTTAGTTTAAAAGTTACTTAAAAGCTGTTCATTTAAAAAAAAAAAAAAATACACATTTCAAAAAGCTGATATAACTTAAGAAAAGCTTCTCCTGAGAGCTTTTGACTTTTTTCTTCATTATAAAAAAAGCTCTTTTTATTATAAGAGCTTTAGCAAAAACCTATTTGACCTAACTTCTACTTATAAGGAGAAGAGAAACTAAAAATAGACCTCCCAAATAGGCACTAAACCAAAATTGACAGATTTTTTCTTAATTCGAGAACCAGATCAATCATCAAGCAACATAACAAGAAAGCATTCAGGATCATCAGCAGCATGATTAAACTGCATAAAACCTCACCTAGAGCCAACTCAGGATCATCTGCAGCAGCTTCAGACATATCTGTATCCTGAGCATCATGGTTAATTGCAGGCTCATCCATTGACATTGCAAGGGCCTGTTGTAGTAGAGCATTCTCATCATCCTGTTTCCATTTGAAAGTAAGTTCACACAAAACAAATACTATTTCCTGATACCAATTTATGGGAAGAATGAAATCAATACTAGAGAACTGATCCAAAAGCAAAGCAGGTAGAAGCAAATTCTTGGGGAAACTAACATATATATATATATATATATGTATGTTACATCAGCTTGCGAAACAGACATAATCAGTTGACATTGATGTTGAGCTGCACTCAGAAAAGCAACATGTAGCAGGAAACAAGTTTTCAAACTGTGCACCATAGTATTTAGAATGTAATGATAGACCTCCACCAATATGCCTTTTTATCTGCATTATTTTTAACTATACAGAAAAGGAATAGCAATTAGAATGAATCATTACTAGTGAGCCTCCAAGGTTAGTTATGAGATGTAACACCCCATAGAGACTTAGAGTCACACCAAAATTGGTGCACCAGTCATGATGATGGTAGTGAGTGTGGGAATGTAAGTCAATTATGTAACACCAAGAACATTGAAGTAAAAATGAGTAGCATGTTGATTTATTAGTGCGAATGATGGTGAAAGTACTGATAATTGTGATACATTGTACGAAGCATAAACATGGAATTGGAATTGTTGAACTGAACACTGATGATGCTATTAAGGAGATGGAGCGGATCTCTGATATTAAAATCATTGGTCAGGTAGTAGGTCGCAGCAACAGTCTAATGAAGTTGCCAGCACAGGAGTAGTTTGGAGTTTGGACAAGGGATGTCGGAAAAGGACAAATGATGACAAAGGTGTAGTTTAGACTCTCAGGAAGCAACTAGCTCCCTGGTAAGTTTCACTTACACCAGCACACAAATGAGAAAATGATCTCCGAAGAAAATTGAGGTTAGCCTGGATCCAGTATCAACCTTTGGAAGTTCCAAATCAGGCACAGCTCAAAATTAAAATACAGTAGAGAAAAATCATAGTTAATAGTCCTACAAACCATTTACATAATTTAGATCTTGATTCTATAATCCAAACAAGCATAAGACCAAACAGGCAACAAACATGGCTAAAGTAACAAATTACACCAACCATCAAATTATTTGTCTTAGTCTCAGCTTCAGAAGCTGTTGCACTGGCACGCTCAGTCATTGTTGCATCCTGAGAGCCAGCTTGCTGCTCACTGCCTTTCTCCTGTTTGGAAGCATCCTCTGCAGCCTTTTTTGCAGCTGCTTCCTGTCTGGCTCTCTCCTCTTCCATTGAAACTCTTAGAGCAAGAGCCAGTTCAGGGTCCAAGTTCGGATCCACACCAAACTCAAATCCAGATACACCACCCGCAGCAGCTGCTGCTGCAGCAGCTGCAAAACCACTTCCACCTTCTCCATCACCAGTAAAAATAGGAGTACTGCCACAAAGCAAGGATACATAATTATGTCAGAAATTAAATCTTGCTTAAAATAAACTTTATTACATTGCAGAGGAAGAAAGTAAGTACAGCAGGAGCAAGGATAAGGTATCCTCTAAAACAAATACAAAAATGAGAAAACGAGGAAAAGAGAAAAAAAACTAAGAATGCAATAGGGCTCCCCAATCTCTTCGTAAGTCAGAGATGGAAATACTTGTGTGCTGAACACCGATGAGAGACTAAAATCACAATACTGTCCCATAGTATATTTAGCTACAAGGAAACACTCTTAATTAATGTGTATATTTTGCTCCAACGAAGTGTACCGAACAATTGCATAGACTTCATATAGCCATAGAAATTGGGCCTCCTTTTCGCTACCAAAACCTTTGTAGCAAACCAACAGAAACTGTAGATAATCAAGAGGACACAACCATTGCTCCTTGAGAATTTCAAAGAAGATTGCTCTGACGAAAAATTAGCAGCCTTGCAATCCAAAAATAAATGACTCACTGTTTCAGAACTTGAATTGCATTTGACACATATATTGAGAGAGAGTAGTCTGAAGCATGTTATTTGAGCTAATTGGGTAAATCAAACAAAAGATTTGACCTTAGAGCGAGATTTGGACTTCTAAATGGATTTATCAAGGAGGAATTTATGGCTATTTGGGGAGTAAGTTAAGAACTGAGAAAAAGAATTTAAAAGAAAATGCACAAGAGTAAAAATTCCAAACTTTCTTATCAGGTTTAGAAGAGAAATGGGAAGAATTAGTAGTATTAGCGTAGCTTTCTGCTATAGGTCTCATTGTATTAGACTCTAGCTTATATAAATGTGTTAGTGTACTTCTGAGTTAGTTAGAGTGTGACAGCTGTAAGCTAAGTGTGTGACAGCTGTAAGCTTCAATGTTGAGTCATCAGTTTGTAGTTTGTATATATATCATCTTGTATCTGAAACGTATGGTAACTTTTCATTCTTCAATAATACAAATGGGTTCTTTTCAGATTACTCTCTTCTCTTTCTCTCTCTCTCAGATCTTCTTCTCTCTTCTTCATGCAACTCTCTGATTTCTAATATGGTATTAGAGCTCTCTTTCTGAGGGCCTGATCCAGTTAGAACTCCACTATGTCTTCCGCTTCCGACTCTGATTCAAACGCATTTGACTCGAATCAACCACATTCCAGATCTAAATCTCAGAATCAACGATCTTCCAGATCTACTTCCTCGTCAATGAAGATCAAGACAACTTCTCTGTTTAACCTTCAGATCTCTGCCAAACTGACAGAAGATAACTATCTTTTTCGGAATCAAATTATCGAACCGGTAATCACATCACATCAGTTGCATCATTTTCTTGTTAATCCAAAAATTCCTCTTAAATTTGATTCAGACGAAGATCGAGAGAGTGATCAATTGAGCTCAGAATATATTGCATGGCTTAATCAAGATCAGATGTTACTTACATGGCTTCTGTCAACAATTTCTGAATCTATTGTCAATGATATCTTACCTGTTAAGCATTCTTTTGAGGCCTGGAATAATATTCATAAGCTGTTTCATGGAGTTATGAAATCTCGTGCTCGTCAACTCGGATCTGAGTTGAAAACGATGAAGAAAGGCTCAAAGTCCATCAAGGAATACTTAGCACGCATCAAAACTCTTTGTGATTCGCTGAAATCGATTGGAAAGCCTATATCAGTTGAGGAGCACACTGAAACTATTCTTGAAGGCTTACCATCAGAATATACTCCGTTTGTTATGATGATACACGGGCGTGAGCGTGATTGCTCTGTTGCAGATCTAACAGTGGAGCTAATGGCTCATGAACAACTTCTAGTCAAGCAAAATGATAATCTCCTAACTGAAGGAATAGCTGTGAACCTCACCCAACGTTCTCCAAGTTCGCTCCAGGAAGTTACTAACGAAGAAGATGACTCTGTTTCTGAAACCAGAAAACAGAGTCGAACAGAGCAATTTTCACAGCCTGCTTTTCCTTCCTCCAATGCTTATACTAATCAAAACAGAGGGCGTGGACGCTCTTTTACACGCTACAATCGAGGAAGAGGACGTGGAAACAAAGCTAATGTTCACTGCCAGTTATGTTTCAAGTTTGGCCATGATGTCACATCCTGTTGGCACTGGTTTGATGAAAACTTTGTGCGTAGCTTGCCACCTCCACAACATGTGCCATATTCTCAGTTCTTTCAACAGCAGCAACCTCAAAACACACGATCATTTCAGTATGTCAGGCCTTCAAATCAGCAACATGCCTTTGTTACTGCACAACAAGGACTATTACCTACTCCAAATACCATACCACTGATGGAGTGGTTGCCAGACTCTGGTGCATCTAGCCATGTAACTGGAGGAGCACAAAACATCTCTCACAGCCAACAGCTAAATGGTTCAGACCAAGTTTTGATAGGAAACGGTCAAGGTTTGCCTATTACAGCCATAGGATCCTCTTCTTTTCTTTCTCCTCTTAATGCTACCACTTGTTTACATCTAAACAATTTATTGTTGGTTCCTTCTATTACTAATAATTTGATCAGTGTGAGTAAATTTGCTAGAGACAACTCAGTCTTCTTTGAATTTCATCCTAATGTCTGTTATGTCAAATCTCAGGTTTCACATAAAGTCTTACTTCAAGGAACTGTAGGAGCTGATGGTCTCTATCGTTTCTCTGACATTCATTTTACTTCACAAACTGATCCAGTGACCAGTAATAGTTGTCCTCCAATTTCATGCCTGTCTACAGTTACTGATTCTTGTAATTCTCAGTCTGATCGTGCTCCAGTTTACAGTAGTGTTGATTGTAAAAATAGTTGTTTCAACACTGAAAATAGGACATTGTGGCACTGTCGTTTAGGACATCCACACTTTGATTCTCTCAAAAATGTATTGAAAACTTGCAATATTCCTTTAAGTAATAAAGTAGCTGGAGAATTATGCTCTTCTTGTTGTGTTGCAAAGGCTCATAGACTACCCTCATCACCTTCTACCTCTCACTATAAATTTCCTTTTGAATTGGTGTTCAGTGACTTATGGGGACCATCACCCTTCAAATCTACTCTTGGTAATAACTACTATATATCATTTGTTGATGCCTGCACACGGTATACTTGGATCTATCCACTTAAACAAAAATCTGATGCTATTTCCATTTTTAAACAGTTCCATGCAATGATTAAAAACCAATTTCAAACACCCCTTAAGTCATTTCAATCAGATTGGGGTGGGGAATTCAGAATTTTTACCCAATATATAAAACTTCACGGGATACATCATAGAGTCACTTGTCCTCATACTCATCACCAAAATGGTGTTGTTGAAAGAAAGCATAGGCATATTGTTGAAACAGGTCTTGCATTACTTGCACACTATTCCCTTCCCATGATCTATTGGGACTATGCCTTTACCACAGCCACATATCTCATAAATAGATTGCCCTCTTCTTCTATTGATTTTACTGTTCCATACACTAAACTGTTCCATAAAAATCCAGATTATACCTCCCTAAAAGTTTTTGGGTGTACATGTTTTCCTTTGCTTCGGCCTTATAATAAGTATAAACTGGAAAAAGGAATGTGTGTTTCTTGGTTATTCTTCAAACCATAAAGGTTACTTGTGTCTTAGTCCTGATGGCAGAATTTACATATCCAAGGATGTACTCTTCAATGAACATAGATTTCCTTTTACCTCTTGGAAAAACAATACATCCTATCCCACTTTACAACCCACCTCTACCTCTGTTCCCCTTACTATTCTTTCACCACATTTATCCTCTCCACCAAATGCCCCATTTCTGCCTCAGCCCTCTTCCCCATTACCCATACAGTCACTGCACACCAATGATTCTCCTCCTTCAAGTCAGCATACACCCCCCTCTCCTATTATTGGAGATCAATCCCCTGTTAGACAGCCCGTTGATGTCAGTCCGATTCCTTCTCCATCCTCTCCAGTTCACACTTCATCTAGTTCTTTATCTTCCACATCCTCACCTTCTGAGTATGTCCCATCCGGTTCCTTTCACACCTCTTCTCCTCGTTCTATTATTACCAGGTCCAAAACTATGGCTAGAAATTTGGCTCTTCTCACTCATCTTGAACCAACTACAGTCAAACAGGCTCTCAATAGTCCTCATTGGTTAAAGGCTATGGAAATTGAATATGATGCTTTACAATCTAACAAAACTTGGTCTCTTGTTCCTTTACCTGTTGGCAGAGAAGCTGTTGGATGCAAATGGGTTTTTAAAGTAAAGGAAAATTCAGATGGCAGCCTTAACAAATATAAAGCAAGGTTGGTTGCTAAAGGGTTTCATCAAAGACCTGGTTTGGATTATACAGAAACTTTTTCCCCTGTCATCAGGCCTGTGACTGTTCGGACTATGCTCACAATTGCTCTTACCTATGGCTGAACACTAAGACAGCTAGACATCAACAATGCTTTCTTAAATGGAACTCTACAAGAAGAGGTGTACATGCAACAACCTCCTGGGTTTGAAAGTGATGACAAGTCCTTAGTTTGCAGACTACATAAATCCCTCTATGGTCTCAAACAAGCCCCAAGGGCTTGGTTTGACAAACTCCAGGATACTTTGCTCTCATTTGGTTTTCAAGGCAGTAGATGTGATTCTTCTCTCTTCATTTATAATTCTGGTCCTCAACGCATTTATATGCTTGTTTATGTTGATGATATAATCATCACTGGGAATGATGACAACTTCATAGAGTCCCTAATCTCTCGGCTCCATTCCATTTTCTCTCAAAGATTTGGGTGCCCTGGACTACTTTTTGGGAATTGAAGTCAGAAGACAGTCCCCTGGATCTCTCTTCCTTACTCAAACAAAATACATTAGAGAACTTCTTCACAAAACTAATATGTTTGAAGTTAAGGCTATCTCCAGCCCCATGCCCTCTAGCTGCAAATTATCCAAGTTTGGCTCCAATTACTTTGAGGATCCTGGCTTATATCGATCAGTGGTTGGAGCTCTCCAATATGCTACCATTACAAGACTTGAAATCAGTTTCTCAGTTAATAAAGTGTGCCAGTTCATGAGCCAACCTCTTGTGGATCATTGGAAAATAGTCAAAAGAATTCTTAGATATCTCCAAGGTACTATATCCTTTGGTCTCTCTCTGACTGCAGCTCAAACACCTCACTCTGATGCTCTATTTCACTTGGCAGCCTTTAGTGATGCTGATTGGGGTAGTGATCCTGATGATAGGAGGTCTACCTCTGGTGCTTGTGTATTTCTAGGTCCAAATCTCATCTCTTGGTGGTCTAAGAAGCAGCTCTTGTAGCAAGATCCACGGCTGAAGCTGAATACCGCAGCATGGCTTTAGTTTTCTCTGAAATTCTGTGGCTGCAATCATTATTCCAAGAATTGAATCTGCCTCTTTCTGTCCCTCAGGTTTACTGTGACAACCTGAGTGCTGTAGCACTTGCTCATAATCCCATTCTTCATGCTCGCACCAAGCATCTTGAGTTGGATCTTCATTTTGTACGTGAGAAGGTTTTACTCAAACAGATCACTGTTGCTCATGTCCCTGCTTCAGACCAGATAGCTGACATCTTTACTAAGCCACTCTCTCCAGATCCCTTTGCTCTTTTTCGTGCCAAACTCACAATCCTGGATTCTGCCTTGCAGCTCCAGCCCTGATGAGTTTGTGGGGAAGTATTAGTGTAGCTTTCTGCTATAGGTCTCATTGTATTAGACTCTAGCTTATATAAATGTGTTAGTGTACTTCTGAGTTAGTTAGAGTGTGACAGCTGTAAGCTAAGTGTGTGACAGTTGTAAGCTTCAATGTTGAGTCATCAGTTTGTAGTTTGTATATATATCATCTTGTAACTGAAACGTATGGTAACTTTTCATTCTTCAATAATACAAATGGGTTCTTTTCAGATCTCTCTCTCTCTCTCTCTCTCTCTCTCTCTCTCTCTCTCTCTCTCTCTCTCTCTCTTCTTCATGCAACTCTCAGATTTCTAATAAGTAGAAGCAGAATAGATACTAAATCAATAATCCCTCTATTACTCAAATTTTTACTGAAGAGGAAATTCCAGCTCAAAAGGGAATGCTGAGTATAATGTGAAATTGAACTCACAAACCTTATAAGTACATCAGAAAGAGCACTAGGACCCGCTGGAACATGAACAATGTGGCTGGTATCATTATTGTTAACAGCTGCAAGTAGTGCTTCCAGCTTTTCTGTCTTCCCCTCTTCGTCTTCACCAAAATTAACAATGTCAAGAGCCACGCTATTTTTTTTCAACTTTCTCCCAATCATCTCCAACATTTTCTTCTCATGCTTGACAGGACTAAAAAGCATGAAACAAGCAAATTAGAGGGGAAATAGTTACAAACAAAACAATTTCAAATAACACAGCAGAGATAGTCATTCATACCTTCCAGCAAAGACAATAATTCTTTGCTGCTGCTTCTTATTTTGCCGATGCTTAAGAGCCAATTGTGCCACCTGAATGCCAGCAGCTAGGTTCATCTCACCACCTATTTCTAGTCCTAAATTAGGAAGAAAGAAGGGGGAAACAATTAAACTCTTACATGAACAGAAAAACCCAATCATAAAACAATATGTCTGAAAAACACACGGAAAACTTGTTGCACTTTTTACATTTACAGAAACAAGTTTCATAAAAGTTCAATCTCACTAATAGGCATCCCCATAACAATGAACTTCCCAATAGCTTCCATTAACATCCAGAAAGAAAAGAAACCAGAAAAATAGGAAAACCAAATAACACAACTGGACAAATTTCCTCAACCTAAGAATTCCAACATAATTATAAGCACAACCTTGCATTATTAATAAAACAAACAGCAAATATAGCTATTTCTCATATTCAATTGCCACTCATTTCCAAGTACTTTAAATTATCGAAAAACTGACCATGCATGCAAGCTAAGATCTTGCCCAAATCACTGGTAGGGGTGACCAAAACGCGAACGCCCTTCCCTGCCATCGTAAGAACTCCGACAGTATTTTCTGGATTAGACTGAATTATTTAAAAATAAATAAATCTATTAGGACAACTGAACACATGCAATTACCTAAACATCAAATTAAATTTAAAAATCAATTATGAAATGCAACATCATTTCTCAGATAATACAAGTATTAAGCAGTGATTGGGTTCACATGGGTTTTAGCACCGCAAATAAGATTGACAGCTTCTGCCTGGGCTTGAAATCGAGAAGGAGAGTAATCTCCGTTACGCATCCATTCGGAATTGTCAATACAGATCATCGTCGCCTGTTACACCCAAACAATTATTATTATTATTATAATAATAATCCAATGAAAAAGTGTTGCAGAAATAGCACGAAAAAACCCTAATTAATTAAATGGAAGAATTGTCATTATAGAGTTCGTTGAAACTAAGACGAAGTGAAAATCAGGGTTCACCTCGAGCACCATCGTTGGAGATTCAGAAAAGAAGGATCGAATATGGGGGGAAAATAGAGAGCACTAATTTTCAATGTATCGAGAAAAAGAGAGAAGAAAAGAACTGAGGTCAGGTTTGTTTGCTTGCTAAACAGAGTTTCCATTCGCTAACGTGGTTTTAATCTGCTGGGACCATGACGTAGGATACATTTCTTTCCAAGCAATGTTCTATTGCCACGCAAGATATAGAAAACTTGAAGGGCAACTATCTTTAAGCTATATATTATTTATGGGAAATATTACTCTTCTTTTGCATAAGATAATATATTTCATGTTTCTCATTTTGATTTTCGCACTTCATTTTCTTCTTTTTTTTCTTCTTTTTATAATGATAGGACTCACCTATTTTCTCTCTACAACATAAGATTACTATCTTATGTGAAATGAGACTAATAAAACTCATTATCTATAGTACATAATTATAATTTATTAAAAAAATATAAATTACTTCATTTAAAAAGATAAATTATTTTCCTTTTATTCTTTGGCTATATTAATTTTGATCATTATAATTTTTTCTTTGAACCCCGTAACAATGTTAACAAAAGATAAATTATCTCCATAATATTAAACCCTAAAAATTTAGTAATTTTAATTTTCTAATAATAGAAAAGTTCATGAAATGTTACTTAAAGTTTGTTGATCTGAAAATGCTAAAAGAAAGAAGGGGTAGAATATTTTAACAATCAATTAGTGTTACTACCCATGTTACTACCAATTAATTTCACCGTTTGATCGATTATGTTGATTCACGGTTATATTTATTTCCACTATTCTATGGTCATGATTCGTTATATTTAATGTGAAAGCATTAAAAATGGAAAATCATGACTATACAAAGGTAAAAATAAATATAAAATATTAAATATGGGAATCATAACCATACAAATATGGAAATAAATATAATTGTTGGATCAACATAATCGATCTAACGGTGAAATTGATTGGTAGTAACACTAATTGGTTGTTACAATATCTTTCCCCAAGAAAAAATACCTTATGTTAAATCTGACCCCAATTACATTAAGTTGAAATGTTATTGAGTTAAAAGCTAATGGGCTTTATTTTGATTTTTAGACCCACAAATCAAGATTTTCCAAAGCAAAGAAGAATAAAACAAAAGTGGGCTTGACATTGCAGTATAAAAGTGAGCCTAAGAGAGAAATAGAAGGACAAAGTGGAAGAAAAATGGGATAAGCTTCTAAAGTCATCAGACCACTAATAAAAATTGCATCGAACCCTAACCTTCTCCCATTTCATCTCACCATTCACCCTAATCCATCCACAAAGCCATTTCAGATTTATCTTTCATTATCATTGTGTTCGCCATCTAATCTCCCAAAACCTTCCTCTTGGTGGTTTAATTAACCATTCACCCAACATTTTAATCCTAACCGTTTTCTGTTGAAAAGAAAGAAAAAATCCCATGTAAGAACCTGCACCGTTAATTAAGGAATTTAATTAATTAATTATGATTTTAATGAGATAATTCCATAATTGACCCTAATAATTATGAGAAGTCTTAAATAATATTGGTAAGTGATCTAGAATGTTGAAAGTCGCTTTTCTAACGAAAAGTGCAGATACCGGTTCTGCTCACGATATAAGTCCGTACCGATGAAGTATCCCAGAAAATTATAATAAGTCCATGAATATTCCTAGAATAATATGTAGGACTGTGATTTCAAGTTTCAAGTTAAAATAATGAGAATTAGTGCCAGAACTGATACTGGCTATGGAAAAGCGCGTACCAAAAAGGTGCTGCGAAAAATAAAATAAAAATATGATAAATCTTAGAAAAATGAGTAGGTTCAGAATCCTAAGTTTGGAATTAAAATGCTAAGCGTAGCAATTAGCGCTAATACTGTGTGTTTAATTCTTAAAACACTATATATACAACTTTAGGCACATAACCCTAGGCCATATCAGTTTTCTACGTAGAGTGGGGACTGACCAGCATTCTCCTACTATTCCATTGCCTTTCTCTTCACCTTGAGAGCCAAGAAGTCATCTTTCTTCTTGGTTTCTTCATCAAATCTCCTAGTGTGGGTGTGCTTTAGACTTGTGAGGTTGAGAGGCATTGCTTTCTGAGTTTTCAGCCTCTGTTTTGAGAGGTTTTTGGGGCAAACTTGTTGGTTGAAGTGGTGAGAGCCATCTCCTTGTTTATGGGAGCTTCAAGTTGTAACCTTTGTGAAGAAGGGACCAACCTTGATACCCATTTTCGTTCACCTTGGTGTCTGCATCATAAGAGCTGGTGGGAGAGCTCCAAGAGCACCTCCTTGTTCTGTTTTAACCTTGGGGTATGATCATCACCTTTGTTCTTGAGTTTCTTTAGTTAAAAATGAAGCCTTGATGCATGTAATGAACTAAAGTTAATAACTTGAGGTTGGGTAAGGTTAAACACACCTAGAAATGCATGTTTAAGTCTCTGTAATCGTGAAAAGAACCACCTTTGTGAAGGATATCTCGCGAAATGCAGAACTGCATTCTATCACGAAATATCCGGATATGATATCCGGATATTGATATCTGAATATGGGGTCTTGTGATATCCGAATATGGATATCCAGATATGATATCCGGATATGCATACCCGGATATGATATCCGGATATGTCCCCGACAAATATCTGGATATTCTCGGAATTTCGAGACAGTGTCTGTACTGTTCATACAGAACTGTGCTTGGGGTTTGTGGACCCTAGATTGATTAAGTTGAACTTCTATAATGATTTAAGTAAGTCAGAATCTAAGTGATTAAGGGCTTATGGCTTTGTGAGAAGCCTAAAGACATGAAACGTAAGTAAAGTCGTTGTCTTTATGTCATATACTTGTAAAGTATGAATTTTGATTTGGATGTTGGTCTAAACAAATTGTGATCTTGTTGTTTGTGGACTTTGAGCTTGTGTGGACTCTTGGTTGGAATAGTTAGCTTAAGAGATAAGCTTTCGTGTCCTCGGTTTAGCCATTGTTGGTTCCACCATGTCCTATGGAGGGATGGTTATATGCATGATGTGTTTTCATGATTTGATATTTGAAATGCTATTGAGTTGTTAAGTGCAAATGCTTATGATATGTATGTGGTGTTCGCTTATATGAGATGTGATCCTATGGGCAGGTACGGCATGGGCGCGTACTGTGTGGGTAATAGACGTATTCCTGCATTTCTCTGGCCAATAGATTATTTATAACACACATGACATGATTATCTGGTGCATTGCACTGCTTTTGGAACTGATATTGTATGTTGCTTTTAGAACTTATATTGCACATGTAAGTGAGCTCGGGGTGGAAGATTGATGTGCCTCTGACAGATGTAGTTTTCTAAGATGAAATTGATAAGAATTGAGTCATAAAAGAGCAATTTATATACATATTTGCTTACTATATTGATTCTTTCCATGTCAATGATATTTCTCACCTATTGGTTGTGTTTATGTATGTAGAAGAAGTGAAAACTACAAAATTGTAAAAAGCTTATTGACGTGACTCCACACGGGTGAACCTTGGGCCAAATTCCAGAGAGTTGGCGCAAGCTGGCGCCACTCTGGCGCAAGATGGCGTCGTGCTCCTCAGTATAATTTCTAGAGAGTTGGCACAAGTTGGCGCCACACTGGCGCCAACCCGCGCCGGTTTACGATTTCACAGGATCGTGTTTTTACAAATGACAGAACTATGGCACGGATTGGCGCCACACTGGCGCAGACCCGCGCCGGTTTGCGAGATAATAGACCGTGTTGTCTGAAGGGTATTTTTGAAAGAAAGAAGCAAGGTATATATATAGGATGCTCATGACAGAGTTGGGGGCCCCTATTCTATTGAAAAGAGTCAACGGTGGTGCTCAGAGAGAGTGTCTTGCAAGAATCTATTTCATCTTCTTCCCCTTTTCATTTATCAGTTTATGTTGAATATTGAATTTTTAGTCATGATAATTGTAACATCCCACATAATTAGGAAAGTATAGAAATTGCGATGAGGGATATGGAAGCATGTGTTAACTTAGAATTATATGTGAATACACTTAGGGTGGAATTAAATTAGAGTAGGAAAAGTATTATAGTTGCAATTATGTGGGAGAATATACTTTAGAAATTTGAAACCTTAGTTAAAAGAATAGGATTAATGTAATCATGACGTATAAAAATGTTAGTTAAAATTTAGTAGCTATATGAAATAATAATTAGTAGGATCTCTTATGTGATAGGTGAACCTTTAAGGCATTAAATTTTGGGCCATTGTTCCCTTAAGGGCCGCGACCAAGAGCCATTGAGAAGGGCTTGTGATCAGCCCAAAACCCTTCTCTCAACCTTAGCTAATCTTCACTTACCCTAAGAGAATCATTGTCACTCCCTCATTGGTCAAAATGCACCATTTGGCAAAGCCCCATCCTTGTTCCCCCCTCACATGTGCGCATAGTGTATGATAAAATTCTAATTTGCTTACAATTATGGACAAAGTAAGTCAGCCACATTGCCTCTTCATGCGGCCAATAAAGAGAGAGCAATCCACCTGCATTTTTTTCTATTGGTCTAGAATTCCCACATGGAAAGCCCCTCATCCTTATACCCTTGTTATGCGCATGGTGTGGATAGAAAGAAATCTGATTTCTTGCTATAGTATCTAAACTTAAACAGCCTTTGTCATCCATGTAACCAATGGAACCAAAAAGAATTCTAAATGGTGTCATGTTGATTCAGCATCCAAGAGCCTTATCTCTTCCATTCTCTTTATTTCTATGCGCTATTAATGAGACAACAAAGCTGGAAACTTAACAATTCTTCTCCTCTCGTTCTTCCAAGGACGTGAGTTATAGAAACCGTGGACCCTTAGAGAACTACCATCCTTCAAGCATTCATCTCCTTCTTCTCCCTGTTCGACCGAAGCTCATCTACCAAACTTGTGCGCACAGTCACCGTCAAGGAGGGCTGGACTTGTTGTATTCGTGGAGCATAGGAAGTCGAGGTGTTGCTCCTTGTCCTATCGTGGTCCTTTGTGTGCATGCAAAAGGTAAATCCGAGTTTCGAATTCTCTCTTCCTCTCCTCTGTTTCGGTTTGCAAGCATGTTTAGGGAGTTAGTTTC